TGATAGCTATTTTGAAATCTTTGTTGTTTAGATTATGGATTTCTGTGTCTTCAGGGTTGGTTTCTAGGTGTCTGTCATTTTTCTTCTGGTCTGGTGATTTCATGTACCTTTGCATTGTGGTTCCTGTATTGGCTTTATTTTTCCTCATCCTGGAAATCTCTGGTTGCAATTTCCACCCACCACCACTGTGTGGGGGCAAAGGGCTGTGTAATCTGAGCCCCCACACTCTGCCACGGCTGTTCGCTGCAATCCACTGGTCGCTTGATCTGGTCTGGTTGACTGAGTTGCAGGGTCTGGTTTGTGGGGGGGTGGAGGAGGGCTCTGTCTTTCGCCTGCAGTGTCCCTGGCGTGGGGGGCTTCTTATTTGCCCCTCATTATCTGCTCTCTCGGGTGCTCAGATGTTGATGGTACCCCGTAGCAGTTCTGTGCGGGAGTTTCCCACTGGCTTAGAGAGCTCGAAGTGCTATGGTTTCTTGGCAGAGGGCCGCCTCTCCCCTCTCTCTGGGAGCCTGGCAGACGAGGATCACTGATCTGATGGGGAGGGAGAGGAGTTCTCCTTACCTCTCCCCACTTCCTCCGGGGGCCCAGCGCGTTCCACTCTCAGATGTGCCGCAGTGTGAGTCTTTCCGATCTTGCTTTTCACTGTCTAGGATTCCATTGTTAGTCTGTGACTGTTCCTTTTGTTGTAGCTTATCGGCGGAAGAGTTTACGGGAAAGCTCACTCTGCCATGACGCTGATGTCACTTTCTTGGCAGTTTTTTTGAAGATTATGTAGGGAACTTCGGTTAGAGGAGTTTATCACTTGGTTTTTGGCATGATTTAATCATTGTAGATTGTTCGATATTTTAGAAAAAGCATTTTCTCTGCCTTACCACATAGGTGGGAGAGCCGATGCTTCCTTTATTTTTTTTTTAACTTTTATTTTTTGCTGAGGAAGATTCGCCCTGAGCTAACATCTGTGCCAGTCTTCCTCTACTTTATATGTGGGTCACCGCCACAGCATGGCTGACAAGTGGTGTAGGTCCACGCCCGGGATCCGAACCTGCGAACCTGGGCCGCTGAAGCAGAGCACGCCGAACTTAACCACTACGCCATGGGGCTGGCCCCTGATGTTTCCTTTAAATGATAGTTTCCAGTGCTTCAGAATACTTACAGCTCTTTAAATCAAGTGGATGTTGAGAAGATGATTGCAAAAGGCTGGGGTTTTAAATAGAAAAATACGTAAACTAGATACGCTAAAAAGTAACTATCATCCATGTTATTCCATGTTATTTTTATTTTGTAAGAGTCTGTGTCTTTCAAATTTTTCTCAAGTAGTGTAGACATAAAAGTAATATTTTGGTATATTTTAAGGCTGATGCTTCCTAACCAATTACTGGCCAAGGAATCTGGCTAAAGGTTTTTAGACACTGATACAACCATTCCATTAAATGATAGGAATTTGAGAGGACAATGATGGCCGTGTTTCCTGGATCAGTTCTTTCTGCCTTGGGGGTACTCCACCGAATTTTATTATGCTACGTACTGTGTTTGCTTTTATGGATTACTTAGGCCAACACTAGTTTACTAACTAACTTGGCAGCAATTACTTAGGCCAAGTTTTCCTTATAAGTGAAAATTGTAAATATTTGATATGCTTTCAGTTACATCACTGTTGCATTTAATACGTGTTTGCAGACACTTGGCTTTATCTGGGAGACACGAGAGTTTTATTTTTAAAATTTGAATTAAGCAATATTAAGAGTTCATTTAATTCCAGCTTAGCACAGATTTTGCCTATGTATACAAATCTACAAACACATTTAAAATATTTTATTTAGAAACATAAACATTTATTTAAAAGTAAATATCAAGTTGAAAAGAAACACTTGTGTGAAATCATAAAAAATAGTACAGTTCTTTTTAAACAGGTAATATTTTCCCTACAATTTGCTTTCTTTGAAATATATCATCTTTTTTACATACTAGGTAGAAGCAATTTAGCAACATAAAATAGTTGGCTACAATATGTTCAAAATAATGAGAAATGCAGATTTAGAGGTAAGACCATCAACTTTTGTTAAATCCTTCCTGATCCAGTTGCATCCTATACTAACTTGACTGGGTTTTACATTTTAGGACTGAAACTCTGAGGAACGCGGGGGTTACTGTTTAACACCGAACAGAATTCAGTGTGCATGTGCTCCCAGAGCTAAAAACAAAACCAAACCAATGGAAAAAGAAAAATTCCAACATCTTTTAATTTTTGAATATCTACTTGTAATCACAGTGTTTCCCAAATTATTAGAATGCCTTATACCTTAGCTATTTTACTAGAATAATAATTTAGGCTATTTAGTACAGTCATTTTGTTTAGACTTTGGATAAACAGATCTTTTTTTCTTTTCAGAAATTACTAAGCTCTGTTGGTGCCACAGCTGATCCTCCTTCAGTTCCAGAGGCTTCCTCTGGTGCCTGCAGCTCTTGACAGTGATACTTCACTTTAAGTGGTTTGCCAGGGGACCAGACCAAGTGAATACGACAGGGGATGATTTCCTAGAAAATAGGAGTTCAAAAATATTATAATCTGCAAAAGCTTCTGGTAAAAACAATTCTGTGTACAATTTTGTGTTTTACCTGTGTTGAGAATTCATGGAGTAGAACAGTATAATCAAAATCAATTGCACCATCATTTGTTTTCTAGAGGAAATAAAAAAGAGTTAGTGTAATAAGTAGGGTAGGTTTACATTAGCTCAGAATTTGGAAGGCTTATCTCATTTAAATTCTTATTTTGGATGGGTGCCTTGAATCTCCTGCTGCCCCTTGGCTACTGTTCTCATTTCCTTTGGTAGTATCCTGCTTCAAGATACGGAAGTCATGGATTCTTAGTGTTGTTTTGTCACCGAATTCTATGAAAATGTAGTTTAATGTCTTTCTCTCACTTTTTCTCTTTAGTATTTACATGGTGTTTTTTGGTTTTTTTTTTGAGGAAGATTAGTCCTGAGCTAACATCCGTTGCCAATCCTCCTCTTTTTGCTAAGGAAGAACAGCCGTGAGCTAACATCTGTGCCCATCTTCCTCTACTATGTATGGGACGCTGCCACAGAATGGCTTGATAAGTGGTGCACAGGCCCGCGCCTGGGATCCGAACCTGCGAACCCCGGGCTGCCAAAGTGGAGCGCATGAACTTAACCACTTCGCCATGGGGCTGGCCCCATATTTATGGTTTTTGATGGATGCTAATGTCTGTGGGGATAAGGAGAAGCTTTTTTTTGGCTGAGGAGGATTCACCCTGAGCTAACATCTGTGCCGACCTTCCTATACTTTATATGTGGGTCGCCACCATAGCATGGCTGATAAGTGGTGTAGGTCCACACCTGGGATCCGAACTCGAGAACCCAACCTGGCTTGCCAAAGTGGAGCGCACTGAACTTAACCACTAGCCCATGGGGCTAGCCCCAGGGAGAATCTTTTGACAGGCTTAGGAGTCTAGATGCTTATATGCCTCTCAAGCTGATCTGTTAGCTGTGATACATCAGCCCTTAGATAAGGGGCAGAGCAACCAGTACTTCTGGAATGCCTACCGTGGGCCAGGTTCTGTGCTAGGCTTCACACGTGTTCTCACATAATTAATTCTTCTGCCTGTCTTACAAGAGTGTGTTCTGGAGCCTGGTTTTACAGGGGAAGTAACTGGGGGTTACAGCTGGTAAGAGACCAGCGACAAATGGGGATTCAGACTCAGATCAGCTGACCCCACCATGCATGTTCTTCATGCTTTGCCACACTGCTCTAACCCAGTGCCCTGGATGCTGACAGGCAGGCAGTCCTCTTCCCCTTTACTCACTTGATCTCCCTGCATTTTACTAGTGACTAAACCAATTTCCTATTTTCTTTTCAACACTTCCTGGTTTGTTTGTTTTTTGGTGGTGGGGCGGGCAAGAGTGCTTATCCCTTTACTAGTAAAAATGGAAGAGAAGACATTAAAAAAACCCTCAATTTGTATTATAATCTTAATATAGTAGGTTTATATTGAGACTATTAAAGCATATGAAAAAGCAAAAACAAAAAGGACTTGATATTAAGTTTTATCTCCCTTTTGCTTACACTGATGGAGATTTTTACAAGCCCTGGCATTTCCAGTGGGGAGGGAGGTTGCTGGTGAAGAGAGAGGGCCTGGGTCATTCAGACGTCGTCTGCTTGTCTGTAGTGTCTTCTCTGCATCATTGGGTAGCTTCCCCCACCCTCGCCCCCGCCTGGCAGTGCTCCATGGACGTTTAAAGCAAGTACCTGAGGCACAAGCTGCCAAGGCCGAGGATTTATGAGAGAAAAATCAGTGTCTGTTCTCTAAAGGAGCAGTTTCTGGAGGCCCAGTCACCAGGCTGGCATCGCTGGTTCTGGGTGTAGTTAGCCTAGTTTGAGCCTCATTTGGTGGCTCTCGACCTCGGAAGGAAATGGTTGTCCCAAGACGCTCCACGCCAGCTGGCTGCTGTGTCATATGATTTTTGTCTCAGACTTGTGCTGCCTGCACTATTTCTCAAGGCCTGTCTACCATGTGTTTCCATAATTTAAAAACTAGTTTTACTTATAAATTTAAAATGTTTTTTCAGGACAATGCTTTCTTATTCTGCTTTTAAAAATAGCATTTCTGAAGGAAATTCATAGCAGTCTTCAGATTTTAGGCAAAAGACTCAGGGCTTGAAACAAATGATGGGATTCCGACTCCACTGGACAGACTATTCTGCTAAATACACAGAGTGTTGCCCATTTTTTAATACAAAAATTTGGATCATTATAATGCTTGGAAACCCTGTACCACTTAATTAAGACCTTCCTCAGTAAAGTTATCAAAACAGACCCTTGCATTTCTGTTTTTATAGGTTCTTCCTCCTCAGGAGGAAGCAGCCTTGAACCAAACCAGAAAGCACAGCTTAGAAAAGAACTGCAGAGGGGACACTGCAGTGTTCCAGGGTGGGATGCCGCACCAAGGCAAGCTTTGCCAGGAAGGTGTTAATTATATTTTTTTTTTGGTGAGGAAGCTTAGCCCTGAGCTAACATCTGTTGCCAATCCTCCTGTTTTTGCTGAGGAAGATTGGCCCAGGGCTAACATCCGTGCCCTCTTCCTCTAGTTCACGTGTGGGACGCCTGCCACAGCGTGGCTTGATAAGCAGTGCATGGGTCTGCGCCCAGGATCCGAACCTGTGAACCCTGGGCCATTAAAGTGGAGCACAAGAACTTAACCACTACGCCACCAGGCTGGCCCCAGGCAGGTGTTATTTTTAATAGTATTCAGAAGTAATCTCCCTGGCTTCTATTCAAATCATCACAAATGCCATATTCTTATAGTCCAAATCGATGATGATCGACTGCTGTGTTTTCTGGTAACTCAGCACGGGAATCCTACAGACAGGCTGGAAGTGTGTGTTCATTCCCTTTCTCCACCCTCCACCCCACCCTTGCCCCCCCCAAAAGAGAACCATCCCTAGCAGAACCAGTGTGGTTTTAGTAGAGAGCGAGTAGGCTTAGGTTATTAATATACACTATCAAAAGTAGATTTCTTAGCCAAGTGAATAAGGTAGATCAGATGGTTTCTATAAAGTGTCTTGGCCACAGTGGGGGCCTCTAGTTCGGGTGAGGACGTGAGCAGATTACTAGTGTTGTGCTGCAGGGAGAGAGCACAGGATTCTGGTCCTGACTGATGAGAGTTGGAACAATGCTCACTTGTACTTTTCTCAATTCATATTAAAGGCTAAGGGTGTAGGGAAAGGCCTGATCCATTTACTGTTTTTTTTATAGCCAGGAGATATCTCCCCTGCCCTTGGCATAGTCCTCATGGTATAGGGAATGACATCTCTTCTTCAGTTCTAAAGCAGTAATTGTGCCAGTGAGATGGGTCTTAGTTTATATTTGTATGTCCATCCTTCCTTCCTTAGCCCACTTCCCTTGCAGGCCTTGCTCATTTGGGGCTGCGGGTTTATCAGCCTGCACTTCTTACACAATTGCATTGAAAGGTGAGTTTAACCCCGAGTGTAAAGATAGTAATTCCTACCCAGAAAGCTTTTGGAAAAACTATAATCCCTTTACCTTCCTGAGTTACCCTGGGCCACAGAGCACCTGCTCCTGTGCTGTCTGCTTCATCAGCCCTACCAACCATCCTGCTTCTCGTCTCCTAGGACAGTACCTGGACCTTCTGACCTGAGTGACTTTTTAAAAACTGTTGCTGCTTTTGCTGAAAGATTTCGGGAATCCTTAGTGGCCACTGAATAGCAGATTTGAAAATCTACGTGGCTATGTGCATACTTTTCTAAGAGAGTTCTAAGCTGAAATGCATATCAACCTTGAAACCAAATTTCCCAATTGCTCCGGCAATTTAGATTTATGTGAGTTAAAGGGCTTCGATAAATTTGCCAATCTTCGTTTAATAGGCCCTAAGAGATGAAGTGATTTGCCTTAGGTGACCCAGCAAGTCAGCTGCATATTCAATTATTATTTATTTAAAACCCAAACCCCACAGGGTAAAAAAAAATCTAAAACTCCTACTCAGTGGCCATTCTCTCTCTGCATTCTTGTTTTCTTGACGCTACAATTACACTTGTCCCGACTTTCTCCTTTGCGGGAGGAAAGAAAGGAATACAGACATTAAAAGACCCTCATTTGTTCCCTGTGTTGTCTCTGCATTGCTCTGTTCCTTGAGTTCTCCTCTCACATTCAGTACAATTGGTTCTAAGTTATCTTGACACCATTTTCTACTCTGTAAACAAAAAATCTTCCCCTAACTTCTCAGGGAAGGTACAAGCCCCTGTTGAGGATATGATCATCTTGGTAGATGAGAAAGAGAGAAACTTTTATCCAGCAAAAGAACTGGTGCTGTGTCCTGACTTGTAATACAGCAACAATCAACTAAACAGTAATTTCTTTTTTTTTTTTAAAGATTTTATTTATTTTATTTTTCCCAAAGCCCCAGTGGATAGTTGTATGTCATAGCTGCACATCCTTCCAGTTGCTGTATGTGGGACTCGGCCCCAGGATGAACGGAGAAGTGGTGCCTCGATGCGCACCCGGGATCCGAACCCGGGCCACCAGCATCGCAGCGCGCGCACTTAACCACCAAGCCACAGGGCCGGCCCATAAACAGTAATTTCTATTAAAAAGTACTCTATGAGGGGAAAGAAATGTGTTCATTTTGATAAGTAAAGAAAAAAACTACGTTTCTAGTTGTCTGTTTTACAAGTGGCCTTTGGAAGGCACACTGAACTATTACTGGCATTAATAATGCTGACCTGATGCTGGGCAAATCCTTGGACTCAGAAGATATTCACCGATGATCCATCCATGGGTGAACCCACTGCGTCACCCATCCATGAAGAGAACAATTTTTGAAGTTTGTTCTTATGGTTGGCTCAGCTTGCCTGTCTCAGAGTAGTTGACTCGTTTACTCTGGAAATGGCCCCCTCTCTCCATCACTCTTGCCTGACAAAAACTACAACTGGCTAAATCCAACCCTCCGTCTACTCCGTGTCCACACGCACACAGCTGAGCGCCTGGTCCTCCTCTACATTCGTGACCACAGGCCTTCAAGGGCCTGCAGTGCTGCAAGATGCTCAAGTCCGTGCATTCCTCCCACACTCCCAACACCTCCTCTCATCCACTCTCAGCTGATGACTTTGCCTCGTTTTTCACGAAGAAGACAGAAGCAGTTAGAATAAAACTTCCACAGGCTACTGCCATGATATCTACCCTCCTACCAGCATCTGTGCCACTCTCCCCTGCCTTCCCTCCAGGTGAACACTCCATGCTCCTGAGATCATCTCCTGGATCCATCTGATAACAACTCCAATTCTTCCTTCTCTTCCCTACAAGTCCTACTCGGCCCTTCTCTGCTGGATTTTTCTTTCTCATCAACATATATGCTGTTAAATCTCCCAACCTAAAAATACAACTGAAAACAAACCCTCTTTGAACCCTGTGCTTGCCCATCCTCCAGCTATAGCCCCTCCCTTTCTTTTACTCCTTTTATGGCTAAAGTCCTTGAAAGAGATGGTGTGTCCACTCCCTTCCTCCCATCCTCTCCTGAACCTACTCCAATCAGGCTTTCGCCCTCACTGTGCCAGTGAGATAGCGCTTGATAAGCTCTCCACTGACTTCCAACTGCAAAATCAGATGGTCAATTCTGAATCCTCATCTTGACTTTCCAGCAGCATCTGATACAGTCAGTCGATCTCATCCTTGAAACACTCTTTTCTTATATCTCCAACCTCTAAGGTTGGAATTGTTCCAGGACTCAATCCTTACATAACTTCTTTTCTTTTATATCTAACACTCATTCTCTGTGATCTCATCCAGTCTCGTGGCTTTAAATACCACCTCTATGATGATGACTCCAGCACAGACCTCTCCCCTGCACTTGAGACCCTTATGTCCAGATGACTATATAAATTCTTTGCTTGGTTACAGAATTTAGTATGCCCCAAATCAAGCTAATTTCCCCCCAAATCTGTTTTTCCTGTAGTCTTCCCCAATCAGTAAATGAAAACTTTCCAGTTACTCAGGCCAAAATCCTAAGAATCATCCTTGACTTTTCTGATTCTCATATCCACATCCAACCTATCAGCAAATACCATCGGTCGACCTTCACAATATATCCTGAATCCAACTCTTCTCACTGCCTCCACTGCTGCCACCCTGGTCCCAGTTACCACCACGCCTTGCCTAGATTATTGCAATACTTGACTGGTCTTCCTGCTTCCACCCTTGTCTCTGCGGTCTGTTCTCAACAAAGCAGCCAAAATGATCCTATTGTAAGTCAGATCATGTCACCCCTCCGCTACAAACCCTCTAATGAGTGAAAGTTTAGGTCCTTCTAATGGCCTCTAGGGCCTTATGTGAACTGATCCCTCCATTTGCCCTCCACTTGGTCTCACCTGCTGGCACACTCTCCTTGCTCTCTCTGTTCCGGCCCACTGGCCTCAGTGCCCTGTCTCCGATCATCAGCCACATTGCTGCCTCGGTTCCCTCTGCAGGAAGTTCTCTTCCCTGAGGGAGGCGGGGCTCACTCTCACTTCCCTTGGGCCTCTGCTCCAAGGTCACCTCTGCTCCAATCAGAGGGGCCTTCCTTTAGACTACGTTAAGTAGTAATTCTATCCCTTGCACTTCATCATCCTCCACAGCATGTACATATGGACTTGTTGACTAGCTCCCTGTCTTCTCTTCTCTCACTGGAAGACATTACTCAGCGAGGGCAGCAACATGGTGTTTTTGTCCCCTGCGGTACCCTCAGTCCCTAAAAGAACACCTGGCCCATTGCTGGCATTCAAATATTTATTGAATGAATGAAATGCAATTAAAACTCTTGCTGTGAAATTAGAAATTCAAATTAGGTCAGCCTTAGAACACTGCATTGGTGGCACCTCTTGGGGCACAGGTTAATTTTCAGTTTTTCTTACCCACTGCTTCACACTGCTGAGCTGTGCCATGTAGTAGTGTAAAAACTGCGTTGTCTTCTCCCACATCACGTAAGAGCTGCCAAGAAAAGCTAACTCCCAGATGGGCCGCAGAGAGGGACCAACATGTCCATGACTATCTGTGAGCACAAAAAAAGTACATTTGTATTAAGGCATTTTGGGGACAAAATTTCAGAAGTTTCCGTAATAAGGGCTTACGCTGGGTCACATCAGTCATCTCTCAGCAAGACCTTGAGCTGGACACGTGATTTGTTTGCATCTGTTTCCACGTTATATGAAGACTGACATGCTTCAACTTGCTCTGCTAAGTAAAGCTACTATAAAACAATATAATGGCTATTTGCTGTACTGTATAAATGCAAAGTACGAGCCATGCTGACACTCAAAGTTAACCTAAAATCTTGTTAGTTGAGACGTATTTTTTAATTAGATTAAACGTCTATCTGTTATCTTCTCCACATTACCTTCTGGTTTGGGTCTGCAGTCAATGTGATGGGCTTTGCCAATCTGCCAAGCGTCTTTGTCCTTCTCTGATCATTGGCTGTAAAGCTAATCAATGTATTGGCAGCATCTCTCTCACTTTTTTTGAACACACGAAGAAATCAATGCCGCAGGGTTTTTCCTGTGGCATTGTTTTTGGACCTGCAATCTTTTTAATTCAGCAAACATTTATAAAAAACCCACTTAACATCAGATACTGCTAGAGGTAGGGATACAATGATTAATAAATTACCTTTTGTGACTTTTAGGAACTCAAACTTTAGCAAGTAATTAATTTATGAGACAACTTCACGGACCATCATTTTACACAATTTGGCAGAGATGTTCTTAGTCTATATCAAAGGCAAATAATAGCATATGTGAGGAAAACTAACAAGCTTATTAGGAAACTAATGGTTCTTGGTAAAATAATCTTTAGCATAAATTCTGCTCTGTATTGGTAAAGCTTGCCTTGGCTGGTTTATAGTGGCAGTCAACTGAAAAAGCACAGATTGACTCCCAGGGTGCTATGAGGGATACAAAGATGGGTCCCCACCCTCCACTGGTTGGCTGTATAGAAACACAGCTGGGACCTTCCTTAAGAGAGGGTGAGAGAGAGCTGAGGGAGACAGGGAAGTGAGAGGATTCTTTGGGCTGGGGAAGTTTGGGGAAAGCTTCACAGAGTTGAGATTTGAGTTGTGCCTTGAACTCCTGTCATGGGTGTGGGGTGGGAGAAAGAGAGTGAAAACTTCCTCCATTCAACTACTCGTCACGTACTTCATCTTACTGCGCCACTGTGAGCTTAACTTTCGTGAGCTCGAACCCACCACCGCAGAAGATGAATCAGTCAGGCTGAAGACCGTGGGTCAGGAGGACATCTGACGGGAGAAAGGCAGCAGCTGTGCTGCAGAGTCCCTTGGGTGGCAGGGCCTGCTGAGTGTCCCCAGGCCTCAGTCTTTCCTTGGTATGTGGTATACTTGGGCTCATGAGGAAGTTCATGAAGTCCTTAGAAAATGTGAAATTTTTACTCATAATAAAAACCAGAAAACTACTTTTTAGGGGAAAAACAGTGTGGAGCAAGGATATCCTGAAGTGGATTAGATCTTCTCACTTATCAACAGTAGAGAAAGCCACACTCGGACCGTCCAGTGCCGTGGATTGATTCCATACTGACTGGAGTCCGCTGAGATCGGAACTGGCTACTCCAAGGATCTCGCCAGTTTTGATTCATTTTATCTAAAAACCAAACATTTTCAGTGTTAAGTAGATAATTTTATATACACAGACAGGCTATAAATAGCACCATTAAAAGTGTCTGCTGAATTTAAAGTGACAAGAGAAGTGTTGATGAAAAGGTGCCCTCTATTAAAAAAATTTTTTTTGAAGCTTCACAGTAGCCACATTGTTAGATTGTTATAGAATGATCCTTGCAGGCGTATAGGACTTATTAACTGAACATGGTCCAGTTAACCCGCACTACTAAAAAGTGTCCAAAATCTAGTGATGCTGTGGCAAATATTCAAAGAATGGTCCTATACAATTTCTAAAATCTGTGTTTTAAGGAGAATGTAAAACTGTATTTCCCCAACTCATGCTAAGGGGAAGAAAAATCCCTAAATAACTGTAGATTTTAAGTATTAGTTATTTGCCCATTTATTTCAGGCAGTACTAAATATGAACAAATTCGACTACAATGTAAGATTTTGAATCGCTCTTCATAATTCTTTGCAACAGGATGTAATCTGATTTGTCAGAGAACTGTAATGAGCATCATCCAAGCTTCTGAATTTTAGAAACGCAAGGAGCAGTGTCCCACCTTCAGGGTTTCAGAACAGTCAGGTGAGGTGGCACAGGTGCACAGCAATGGCAACACGGTCCTTGCATTCTGACATGGCCCATCACGGTCTCTGGGCCCGAGAGTGACTGAGAGAGTGTTGGATGAGGACGCGGCAGCGGTCGGGTGTCAACCTTAACATCCAAGCGTGGTGCAGAGATGACTGCACTGGGGTTTTGGCAATTGGATTTGCCGGTAAGTGCCGTGTCTCGGTGGCTGCCCACACACTCTGTTGAGTGCTGGACAGATGAGCTCTGCTTCATGTCAGCTGAGTCACTCGGAGGGCAGGGCTCATTTCTTATTAGAGGCGGCACCACTGCCCATTAGCTCTTGACCTAAAATGAGATAAACTTGGCTCTACTGCAGCCTGCCAGCAAAGGCCCGAGATAGCCAGCTGGCCCAGCCCGGGGGGCGGAAGGCTGTGATGGGCACAGTGGAGGCTCTGGAGGGTGTCTCGTCACCTAAAGTTTCCAAAGCCGCCACCAGAAATCTCTGGAAACGTCACCTCAGGTCCTGGACACAACGCTGAAAACTGCACTCCTACACGTGTGTCCGGTTGCAAAGACCCTACTCTTCTTGGAGGGTCAGCCCTTGCCCTGCCCTCCATCTGGGAGGGGAGGTGGGGGATCAAAAGGGCACAGATGGTTTTTGGTGGAGTTACTATATTGTACTGGAGACGAAAAAGAGGGAAATGATGATACTTCTGAGTTTTGTTTAAACAATGAGGTGTACTATATTCCATAGTTGAAATAAAGTGCCACTTTGGGGATAAAAATTGAAATTATTCTTTTTAAGATTTAGTAATTACATACATTCCCGAATACAGAAATTCCGGATACTAGTTCATACCAGGTATGTTGACTACATCCAAGGGGTTTCTAAGTTGCTCCATCTGCTTGTAAAGCAGGTAATCCTCTTGCTGTCTCTTGTTCTTCTCAGTGAGCCGTGTACAAGTTATATTAATGACCGGTCTGGGTTTCTGATTCCTGAAAAGCACTCGAGCAGAACATTTCCCCAAATGTTCCTCACCTTCCTGAAATAAAGATTTTGGAATTAAAACGAATGGTTCCTTATCACTACCCCCCCGCACCCCCACCAAACACGCACAGATTAAGAAGTTCTTTGTACATGGCGGGTACGCAGGGCATCAATAGTGCTTTGTACAGAGTGATTTTTGTGTCATAGCTGAACACATCATCCTTCACGCTTTGCTGTCATTTAAACTCCTGCTTTCCTATGGTGCCCTTATAAAATAACCCCGGGCCTATTCCAAAGACACACCATTGCTGTCCACTGAGGTCTGCTTCGCTCAAACCCTTAGCATAGTGGGTACTGGTGCTTTCCTCTCTACTGTGGACTAGCATGATGCCCAGTTGGACCTCAAGCTGGCTAGCTTGAGCCAAAAGAGAAAACTGGCTCCCATTGACAAAAATGACAGCATCTTCGTACTGCCTTATGAATTCAGTCCTCTTACCGGAGTTTTACAGATTAAGGTACTGAAGTTTAAAGAGGAACCTCCTCCATGTCTAAGAGCCCGTAAGTGGTAAGCCAGAATTTGAGCTCTCGTCTGAGGCCAAAGCCCAGGCACTGTACTAACTCCCTCTCTCTACTTCGAGATCTAATCTGGAAGGAGTGGAGGTGCAGATCACCAAAGGGGACTAATTCCACTTCCTGAGTGACCGAGGGATGTTTACTGGCATTCATATGTAAGTGTAGATGGACTGAGTATGCTGGGATCACCCTCACTTATTTTCCAGTCCAGAGACATCTGGACATCAAATGTGTGACTCACTTCTAGGGTGGTGCTTCTCCACTCTTTTAGGTCACAGACTCCTTAACCCAACAATAAAAGCCAGGAAACCTATTCCCGGGAAAATGCACATAAGCTCGCGCAATCGGCACTGGGCCCAGAGTCTGAGGAGGTTCTCAGGCACAGTCACGGCCCCAGCCAGCCCCATCCAGCACCCCTGGTCGAGAACGCCTCTCACCATGAGGTTGGTTGAGCAGTTGAGGCAACAACCTTCTTCTCACATTTGCAGTTGCTTAAACTGGGTGGAGTTCCAGTTAAAACAACAACCAAAAATAAACGTTAAAAAAAAGCCCACAAGGAAACAAATTGTAATCAAAATTGGATCTGCTTAATAAGCCCATTTCTAGGACTAACTCAAAAACTGAAATAGACTTTCTAACGGGCAGCTTTTCCTCCTGTGAGTACTCGTTTTGAATGAGAGAGAATTTCAATGGTGCCTTAAAATCCTAATTATTGGTGCAACATAGGAAAAAGGAGAAGGGAGCATTCAGGAAGAGGCTCGTCAGAGGCAGAGGACAGGGCCGGTCCGTGGCCTCCTCTCATGCCAGTGCCATTCCAGGGAAGAGACAAGGAACCAGGTATCGCCCCCTTTTGTTTTCCTTTCCCTTTCTCCCCAAAACAGCTCCACAGAATCAAAGCAGTTTTCTGAGGGTGAAGGAACTGTCCCCACCCCAGACAAGGAACAGGTCACGTAGCTAGCTGTGCTCTTCAGAGAAACATACTGTCTGTCAAAATCATCTAGTGATTGTTTCCCTTTAGGCGTAATCTAACACTTTCAGCCTGCAACACCAGAAATCAAAGGCATCTTGCTCAGGCTTCAAGAAAATTATAATTCTTAGGTTAGTTAGTGAAGTCAGAGTATACCGTTGCCTTCTTAGAACTTGTTTCTGAATCCTGGCAGCATTCTTCTGGAAGCCTCGGCCTGGGGGTCCGGCCTTCCCCTCCGAAGCTCAGCCCCCCTGAGACACTGGACTGCCGGACGCTGCCTGGGCCTGGCCGTCTGCTCTGTCTCAGCACCACACGGAGAACGCGGGCTGGTCCCCTCCACCCGTTCTCGTTGCTGGCCCAGCACACGGAAGTTCATCTGGCTCTAACTTCTATGAGTTTCTGTTGACTCTCTTCTTGAGACTGGGAGAAGGACACTTGGCAACCATGGCATCCTCGGCCAGGCTCGCGGGGGCTAACAGCCAGTAGCCTGCACTGGCTCTGCTCCATGTTACAGAGGGCCTCCCTGTACGGAAGCTCCTGGGACTGGCCTCATGCTATGCCAGCCTGTTAACGAGAAATGTCACCAGCTGACAGGAAGAGGAACAGGTTGGCATTTGACAGTGACTCATCTAAGGAGTCTGAGGTGCTAGGGAGGGGTACCCAAGGGAGCTGTGAACAGACGGGATGATGGCTGTGTGGCCTGTTTAAATACAACCCTGCAAAATGCCACCAAGTCGAAGGAGTTAATTCTTGAGTTCTTGCCTAGCCCTGCTCTTCAATTCTTGAGAACAAACAGAAAACAAAGCAGGAAAAGGCAAAATACAAGCAAACTTCCAGTGATTCCAAAAATCACTGTATGTTAAGATTCTCATTTTTCTTAAAAAATAAATCCACAGGAGTTGCTAATAGGACACTCCACTAATCGCGGCCGCTTACCTCTGGGTTGTGGCGCTCTGTGGTGAACACCAGGTCAACTGTACATTCCTTCTCTGCATTAATCTGAAATATAGAAACCGAACCTTAGCCTGGTGGAAGCTCTGCTAACATCTTCATGTCCAAGAATCACTCTCCTGGGATGACATGGCACACAAATGGTAGCTGGAGCATTTACACCTGAATATAATCACTGATTTTTTGGAAAGAGAAAGGATCTCAAATTTTGGCCTGATTATGCCACTCTGCTTGCTAGTTTGACACCTGCTCACAACGAGGGAGGTTGAGAGAGGGAAATAGTTGTACTGAGGCTGGATGTTGACTTCATGAGAGCAGCTGGGTGAGAAACAGACATGTGAGTGCAGGGCTGTGGAGTGAGTTCCTTCCCTCTCCAGCCATCAGTGTCCCTTGCCCTGTCCTGGGCGCCGGGCTGCATCAGTGAGGCAGGCAGGCGAGGGTGCCACTCACAGTTCCACAGTGGTGACAGAGGTGCACCCAGCAATAGGCAGTAATTAATTACCCAGTAAAGAAATAGCAGGTTTTCAGATGGTGGTAAGTGAAGACAGAGAGTGGTGGGCTTCGGGTCGACCTGTACTAAGGTGGTCAGGCAGGGCGCCAGACGGTGAGCTCAGCTGAAGGAGGGTAGGAAAGCAGCCTACCCTGGGGATGGGGGGGTGGTGGTGGTGAGGGGCCTACAAGGGAGGCTGGAGGTGGGGACTGGGGACAAATGACTGAAGAAGTCCTCAGATGTTATGGTCTCTCCTTCCTGTGCAGCTCCACAAGCATGTAGGCTTCCAAACTTTGGCGATGCATGTTTAGCCTTTTTAAACGTTTGAATTGATTCCAATGCATATTTTTAGGGTATACATACCAAATCATTGAAGCAATTTAAACTGTTTAGAACTTTATATTATCTGCCATCATCTTTTTATTTTTTGTTTTTGAGAGCAAAATGATCATTCAGTGAAAGGAATATTTTCTAGAGAAGAAAGGAAACTTTCTGCTGCATGGAGCTGAAGTTATTTGATATAGTCTTGATTAAGTTAGACTCTGGAACCATCAATTTCCTTTGAATCTTAGCTTAGGAACACAATAACCAAACAGGATTATCTTATTTTAAATAGAGCAGATATCATCCATTCCTATTATGGTTTCTTGAAAATTCTGTGAAATTGAAGAATGGAGGCATAGGATTCTGCGGCAATCATTTATGTAAAGAATATTTAAACACGTGAATGTACAGATGTCGCTCTGCCTGTGGTGGGGGGTGCTGCACACGAGCAGTTTGCTTAGGGCTCATTTTCAATCTTGAAACAAGTTCTGATGTAGTTGAAACATTGATTTCAATTTACAAAACTCACACAAGTCTGTCCCCTCACTCATTCACTGTTTGCCACCCACTATGCAAGGCACTGGAGAGACACAAAGAAATACAGCCTCCAGCCCAGCCTTACCGAGCCCTCCTGCCGGTGTGGGGACAGGGTGCCGCCCACGTGCAGGGCGCCAGGTGAGGGCGCTCTGGAGGGCAGGTGGGGCCTGGCCCACCTCTGTGAGCAGCAGGGGCCGGCAGGCAAGGGTGCGGGGATGGAGGGTGGGGGCCGGCCTCCGGGGGCGGCGGGGAAGCCGGAGAGGGCAAGCGGG